GAGTCTACTAATGCTGCGTGACCGCCAGCTGGCCTACAACATCAAATCCACGGCCTCGGAGGGCCCCTCCGCCTGGCGCCAGCACTCTGTGGCGGGCGACGCCCCCAACGACTTGCTCCAGCGCCGCGGCCTGCCACCCCTCAGCCTCCAGGTACCCCTGGCAGCCGGGTATGGCATCAAGTACGGCGAGCGGGCGATGTACGTGCGTACCATAGACCAGCCATTGCCGCCCAGCCTGCAGCCGGCCGCCCGCGCCAAGCCCGGCGCCGACATCGCGATGGCGGCGGCCGGCCAGGCGTCGCCCTCGGCAGCAGCCCTGCACACGCCCACGCTGCGCTTTGCCACGCCGCCGCGGCTCGGGGAGCAGGCCTCCAAGCGGCGCCTGCTGGCGCCCGGTGCGGCCGCGGTAGCCCGCGCAGCCGGGGCGTCAGGCCACCTCATCGCCACCGCCCGCAGCCCCTCCCCTGTCGTCATCGCCGTGCTGTCTGCCGCGCCCAGCACCTGCAGCAGCATGAGCGTCACGCCCCACACCGCCGCCTCCTCCATCTCCTCCTCTGCCGCCGGCAGCCCGCTGGTGGCGCTCTTTTACAGGGTGAAGGACCTACTGAGCCCGGCGCCGCAGCGGCTTGGCATCTCCGCTTACTGAGCTGACCAACCAATGTGGGAGCGAGGAGCATGCCTTCTCAGCCCCCGGGCCGGCCGCCAACATGCCTGGCAGCCGCTGCGCCAGCAAACCCAAACGCATACGAGACTCGCTGCCGCTGCACCTGATGCGATGCGAGCGCATCGATTCGCCATTTGCCAAACTGGTGCGTGGCCCGCCCACCCGGTTTTGTGCCTCTGGATCTGTCCCCCCGATCCCTAGAACTGACCACCTGCCCCCACACTCTCTCGGTACCCTGCCACCTGATTTGCAACCCCCATTGAGTTTTTGCAACCAACCCGCTTCATGCATCACCCCTCAACCCGTGATTTCTCCACCACATCCATCACCTGGCTGCACCTGCACTATTCCCAACAAGTTCCCAACCACTATTCCCTGTTGCTTCTGTCCCTTCCCAGCTGGCTGCGATACGCCAGCAGTGTGCTGCGAGCGCATACTTCCTCTTTTTTGGCAGCCTTGCTGTGGTTTCTGTTGTTTGTTCATGCGCCCATCGCGCCATACCAGATATAATCACCAACACAAGGAACACTGGGTAGACAAGAGAAAACAAGTGGGTGGGGACGTGGGTGGCAGGAGAAGCTCTGCTGGAAGGCAGCCGAGCATGGGGAGACGGGCAGAAAGCAGGGGGCAGAGGAGTCCAGCCCTGTGTCTTGGGGGTGGGTGGCGGCCCTTGCAAGCTGCCCAATTGGATGTGGGTGGAAGCCGCAGTGTTTTCGGAGGGAAGTCAGTGTGTCAGCCGTGGACCCCAGCAAATAAGCAAAGATGAATGCCAATGGCGGTTTGGGTTGGATGGGCGGAGACACGGCCCGCCCGGCGGCGGCCCGCCGCCGTGCCGCGCCGCACGCCGCCGCGCCGCGGCCAAAAACGGAAAACAATAGGAGCGCCTGGGGCCGCTCCCAGCCGGCCCCACGTTGCGCGCTCAGCGCCCTGGCATGCCTGCGCCCGGCCGGCGCTTCACGCGTCCCTGGGCGTCGGCGCCTCGTCCTCCGCCGAAGCGTAGGAGGAGGCGTAGGAGGAGCGGTTGTACTTCTGGGATGAGGCGTCGTGGAAGCGCTCAGAGGCCTCCTCATACTCAGTTGAGTTGCGGGCCGCGGGCACCGCCGCCGCCGCCGGGGCCGCCGCCGCTGCGCGCAGCAGCAGCAGCCACAGGAGGGGCGGCTCGTCAGGGGGAGGACTCTGGGGGCAGGGAGGGCAGGGGGCGCACGCGTGGGGTGGGCGTCGCGTGCCGGGGTCCAGTGGGCTGACCGCAGGCATGCCGGATTAAAAACACGGCGCTGCGACGCTCAACACTATGCCGCCCACGTCCCCGCCAGCTGCACGTGCTGCGTGGGCTGCTGCTGCGCGGCTGCGCGCTGCCCCAGTGGCGGCTGCAAGTGCTCACCGGTGGCGCTGGCGGCAGGCTTGGGCGCCTCCACGTCGCCCGCCACCACATCGTCATCCTGCACCACACAGCACAGGCGAGGCCCGTGAGGCTCGGCCCAAGGTGCCGGCCTGCCTGCCTGCCCTCTGCCCTCTGCGCCGCCCGGCGCAGCCCCGGCGCAGCGCCAGCCCAGGGCAAAGGCAGCCGGCTGCAGCCAGCCGGCAGCCCGCCAGCACCCGAGGGCTGCCAGGAGCGGGGCGATGCACCAGGCTGGCAACCAGGCTTGAGAAGGGCTCGCAGAGCTCAGCCCACCTCTTCGTAGATGGCAAAGAGCTTCTCGTCCTCGCCGCCGGCAAGCACCGCCGCCATGCGCGCCGCCTCGTCCAGAGTCTGCTCGTGCTGCTCGTCGCTGCAGCGGGCACGCAGGCGAGTGGGGCGCGTGGGCGGGCAGCGGCGGGTGGGTGGCCGGCAGGGGCGCGTGTGCAGGCGGTGTGTCTGCCTCCCTATTTGCCCCTGAGGATCCGCCAACCCGTAGCCGCCACCAGCAGCACCATCCGTCACCGCAGCCATCACCGCAGCCGCAGCCGACGACCCTCCAGCGCAGCCAGCCAGAGCTTCCAGCCGCGCACAGCCGGCAGCAGCCCACAGGCAGGCAGGCAGCAGCATCCCACACCCCGCACCACACACGCCCACCTGAACTTGAATGATGGCGACAGGTAGCGGTCGCTCACCTCCTGGTCCAGCTCCTTGCCCAGCTGGCGCGAGTCGCCCTGCAGCGGGGTGGGTGGGTGGGTGGAGGGAGGGAGGGAGGGAAGCGGTGGACGAGATGAGGGAACCAGTGAATCCACTGGCTGGTGGAGGGGGAGGAGGAGGGGGGGGGCAGGGAGGCTGCCGCGGCCGCGGGCCAGGGCGGCATGCGGGCCAACGGGGCGCGGCAGGCGCCGGGGGCGGGCAGCACGAGAGAGGAGGAGCCAGAGTCCCAGCAAGCCGTTGGCACGCGCGCGCCCGCACATACACGCACTACATTCGCTAGTACACTGCATGAACCCTACATGAGCACACACGCATGCAGGCAGGGCCGCTCCCCACCTTGGCCGCCTTCTCCTTGGCATCCATGTCGGCGGCAGAGATTAGCGACAGGCACTCCTGGGGCCGCCAGAAGCGCTTGTGCACGGCAACCCTGCTCGGGTGGGCGGCCGGTGGGCAGGCAGGGCCGGGGCGAGGTTGAGGGCTGAGGAGGGGGGCGGCCGAGCGCGGCTGGCATTCCCCGGCCCGGAGCCCGCAAGCTTCAGGGTCGGGTACCCCGGCTTTTCAGCGTGCGTCAGGCCTCGCCGCCGCTCCTGCGCGGTGCCCATGCCCCGCCATCCCGGCGGCCCTGCCCGCCAGCACAGCACACACACACGCGCACGAACACACACACCACACACACACAAGCACACACACACAGCACAACCCAGGCAGCCCTCACCAGAAGACAAAGTCGAAGGTCAGGAGGATGAGGACGAAGATGGGCGCGCCGATGGACTTCTTCAGGCCCAGGATGGCGACCATGAGCAGGTGGAACATCACCATGCCCAGCATGCACTGGTCAAACACGCGCACCCAGACCTGCGGGGGCGGAGGTGGCGGGGCAAAGGTGGGGCAAGGGGGGAGCGCTGGTGTGGCGGCGGCTGCGGGGTGGCGCTGGTGCAGCGTGTGGGGATGCTGGCGTGGTGGTGGTGCTGGCGGAGGTTGGCAGCGGCGGTGTAGGATGAGGCAAGGCGAGGCATGGCAGCGGTGGCGGGGAGGGGCGCAGCAACGAGGGGTAGGGAAGGGAGGCGGCCACACTCACCAGGCCGCCGCTCTGGTAGGTGGGAGTGTAGGTGTACACCTGCTGGTACTTCCTGCGGTACAGTACGGGCAAACAAGCGGTACAATCAGGCGCGATGGCAGCAAAGGCGCAGGGATCGCCACGCCACCAGCCACCAGCACTGGCAGCGGCCGCAGGGGCGGGGCTGTGCGGGCGTGGGAACCAATGGCGGCAGCCATGCGGCGGCCTCGTGCTGACGTGGCGGTATCTGGTGCTGACGTGGCGCCCACTCACCACACCATGTAGTTGACCATGAAGTACAGCAGGCCCACGGGGGCGATGATGGGGCAGATGGTGCAGAAGGTCTGCGGGGCGCAGCGCAGGGGCACAAGGCAGGGGCCAGCGGCACAGCACAGCAGCGCGAGTCAGGCCGGGCATACAGTGCTCCTTTGTCCAGCTGGGGCCCACAGGCCGCCCAGGCGGCCACCAGCCCAGCAAGCAGCGCGAGGATGACAACACGGGTTTGCCGCCAAGCATGGCTCGGGCCCCCTTCCCACAGCCACCCTCCCGCCCTCCCACAACCACCCTGTCTCCGCAGCCCGCCCCACACGCGCGGGACGCGCCCACCAGGCCCAGCAAGCCAGCAGCCCGCGCCACACACGCGGACGCCACCCACCAGGCACAGCAGGAAGGCCATGGTGTCGTTGGGGACCAGCACCCCGTAGGCCATCAGCTGGTTCTGCCACAGCCGAGCCTGCAGGCAGGCGCGAGGCAGGCGGCGGCGCCGGCACAAGGGGCGAGTGTCACAGCGCGGAAAGCAGCGCCAGGGAGCTTAGCGCAGGGAGGGAAGGCCTACGGGAGGAGGGATGAACCACGCCCACTGCAGAGGCGAACAGCGGCTGCAGGCCCGGCTAGCGCCAGCCAGCCGGCCCGCCAACCACCAGGGTTGCCACCCGCCCGCCACCGCCGCCCTGGCCAACCTTGGCGCGCTCGGTGCCTGCCAGGAAGCGGCTCTTCACCCAGAAGATGATGAGGGGCACCAGGCGCATGAGGGTGAGGGACCCGGTGAGCAGCGCTTCAAGCAACTGCGGGGCGCGGCACGCAGGGTGTGTGTGTGGCGGTTGGGAGTGCGTGGGAGGGTCGGGGCGGTGGTGCAGAGGCGGCAGGCAAGGGGAGGCGTCCCGGCTGGCGTGGGCCCACGGCTGGCGTGGGGGAACCCAAGGGCGTCGAGGCGCCTCCGCGCCCATGCCCCTGGAACCTGCGCCTCCTGCGCAGCGAGGGCAGGCAGCGGCTGGCATGGGGCGCCTGGGGGTGGGGCAGGGATGCTTACGACGTAGGTGAGGAAGAAGATGGCTGTCTGCGGGGCGCTGGTGCCAAAGATGGTGATGATGGAGCTGCGGGGGAGGAAAGGAGGGGTGGAAAGTGAGGGGGAGGAAAAGAGGAGGAGCAGCGGTGGGGGGCCGAGTTGGCAAGGGCAATGGAGGGGGCGCGGCGGGGGGAGAGGCGCCAGCAAGCACGGGAGCCCAGCCCAGCAAGGCACCACAACCAGCAAATGCACATGCACATGCACACACACATGCACATTTCTGCACAGGGTGCACAGCACACGCCCCCCCCCCCCACACACACACACCTCGGGTCGTTGATGAACTGGTTGAGCTGGTTGGCAAAGGTGCCGGCGATGAAGGAGCCCAGGAACAGAGTGACCACCTGGCGGGGGCAGCGGGGGCACGCGTGGGTGGGTGGGGGGCAATTTGTGTGTGTGCGTGTGTGGAAGGGTGGACTGGGTGGCCGAAACAGGCGCCGGCCACAAGCAGGCCGGGGCAGCGCGCCACCCAACAGACTGTGCGTTCCCGCCTCTGCCGCAATTAAGCGGTTCCGGTACACCGACAGCCCGGCGTGAGCCTCTGGCAGGCTGCAGCGCTGGCAGGTTGAGCCTGTGCAGGCGGGCGCACCTGGAAGTAGAAGTAGCGGGAGACGAGGCCCAGGTCGATCTGGCTCTGAGACACCATGCCCGCAAACTGCGGCAGGGTGGCGGGGATTAGGGTTCAGGATTGTGATGGCGGCGAGCGGGAAGGGAGGGAGGCACGGCAGCGGGCGGTCGGCATGAGGGCGAGGGCTGGGAGGGGGGCGCCAGCGCCCAGCGATGGCAGGCGGGGCCGTGCGCGGGCAGCCACCAAGGAGTGGAGCTGGCACCTCGAATCCCTTGCCAGCAACACGCTGTCCCGATGCCCGCCAAAACAGCTGCAGCTGCCACAGCCAGGCCCGCCCTCACCCCCACCCCCACCCTCATACCCAGGCCCACAACCTTTGTATGTACCATGAATATCAAAGGCGCACCTTGTTCATCATGACGATGAACATGGGCACCAGGGCCAGGAAGATCTTGAGGGCCAGGCCCGGCAGCATGCCCGTCAGGAAGGCGCCGGCAATGGGGATGGAGTTGACAAAGCTGCAAGGGGGGTGGGGTGGGGTGAGGTGGTCGGGGGTGGAGGAGGGGGTAATTTGAGCTGGAGGGGCCCAAGCGGCCCAAGTGGTGGGCGGTGGGGGGACCGCCGTGCGGGGCATCCAGACGCTCGCGCCGCCGCCCGCGCGCCACCACCCGCCACGTGCGCAGCCACCCAGCTGGCGCGCCGCAGCCTGCGGCGAGCCCCCCAACACACGCGTGCACACACGCGCACACGCACACACACCAGCCCCAACATGCACGGGGGGGCTCACTCCAGGAATGAGTTCATGGAGAGCAGGCCCTGCACCGCGGCCACGGGGATCATGAAGAACGCCATGCCGGCCACATACAGGCCGTACATGGCCAGGGTGCGGCCTGCAGCGCAGAGGGGGAAGAGTGGGAGGGCCAGCAGCATTTCAATTGCTCCGTATGGGTGCAACAGAGAGGCAATGAGGGAGCAGGTTGCTCAGTCGGACAGGCAGGCAGGCAGGGAGGGAGGGAGCGGGCGCAGGCGAAGGGTCAGGTCAGGCGCAGCATCGGCGCGCCCGCGAGTGCCGGGTGCATGCCGCAGCCTGGTGGGCAGCCGCAGCCTCCCGCAAGCACACGGCACGGTGCCCACCCACCCGAGCGCTCCCAGATGCGGAAGCCCAGGTTGCCCCAGACAATCTCCTCGGCGCGCGGCGCCGCCTGGCAGCGCCAGGCAGACAGGTCCTCGCTCATCAGCGTGCGCGCGCCCACCACCTGCATGTGCGTGCGTGCGTGCGTGGGGTACAGGTGCGGCAGGGGAGGGCAGGTGTGAGGGGGGTGGATGAGGGGCAGGGGGTGGTGCGCCTTGGGTAGGGAGTGCGAAGGGCGGATAGGAGAGTGAAGGAGTGGGGCTGGCCTGACGCTTCCGCAGGCCCCGGCCCCTGGCCCCCCGCCGCGCCCCGCCCGCGCGTCGTCACCTGGCTGGTGCGGCGCTTGAAGGTGACAAAGGCGGAGGGGAATACGTTGGAGGCCTCCTGGGCCTTGCCCTGCTCCTCGTGGATCGCGCGGCGCAGCTCCGTCAGCCGGTCCCTGCCGGGGAGAGGGCGGGTGGCAATAGAGGCATGAGGGGATGAGGGGGTGGCCGTGCGAAGGCGGGCGTGGGTGCAGCACCGGCTGGTCCAATAGCGGCACCTGCTTGCCAAGAGGGGCACGTGGAGTGGCGCCACGGCCTGGCCCCTGCACCGCAAGCCTGCCCCCACACTCTCGCGTTTCGGACACCACAACCACCTTCCGCCACACACTCCCCGCCGCCCCGCTCTGTTCACCTGTAGAACTCAAAGGCGTCCACCTTGACCGGCTTCATGCCGTATTTCTCGCGGCCCCAGGCGCCCATGGCCGCGCCCAACACGGTCAGCTGCGAGGGGGAGACGGCGGCCATGGCATGGTCAGGCCGGGGTCGGGGCTGCCCCCCGCCCCCCCC